ACCTGATCCAGCTCTTTCTATAAGCTTTATCAAAAAAGAACGTTTTAAGCGTAATCTGAAAAGTAGAGATGGTGTCTGTCTCATTAATCCAAACTGGGACCTGGTTCCCCAAAAGAGGCACCTGAAAGCTGAAGGATCTGCTGCCATACTACTTTTAAATATCCCAGGAACCACAAAGTAAGCCAGCCATCTGAGAGCAAGGTGCTCTATCTGTAATAACATGTTATGGTCAGCAGTATTGAATGCTGTGCTGAGGTCGAAGGATAAGCACAGAGATGAGTCCACTGTCAGAAGCCATAAGAAGACCATTTGTTACCTTCACTAATGCTGTTTCTGTACTGTGATGAATTCATACCTGGGTTTTAGAAGTATTTCAATATAATATTTATTTAGAATTTCGAGGGTAATTAATAGAAATGCATATGGTACGAGCACAAGTAAATTCAGCCAAAGTTAACAATTAAAGAAGCCGGAGAAAACAAATATATTTCTGAGATTTAATATAGTTTCTTGGAGATGGCGGCACTACCAAGAGGACAAGCAGTTGAACTGGAGGTGGAAGAGTTGGAGATTTTAAGCAGGATGGAGAGATTTAAAAAATAAGAGCATCGGAGGAACAGCTCAGGCTGAGTTAGAGAGGCAAGGATGAGATAGTTTGGACATGAAATATAGCCACCACCTTACCTTAAACCCCGACGGGTGTAAGTTAATGAAAATCATGCTGTGTTAACATGACAGTTTAAAGACCAATTACCTCTCTGCCCAGGGCAGCTAGCCTCACCTTGTACCTCACCCCAGCCACCTGAAAGGAATTATCTTCTCATACCTGCCTGTCTGAACAAACCTTTACGCATGCCTTTCTGTCCGTTTAGCTGCCTGTTGCTGGAAGCTCAGTTCCTTCAACACAGACAGAGCTAGACACACATTTTAATGCCCACAACCCCAACAATGGTAAGATACTTACAGGAACATCCTGGTTTCACTGATTTACTCACAGTCTCGCAAACAATCTGTTGCAGGGAGATGGCAAAACAGAGCATCCTGGCAGTTGTTATTAATTACTCACTATATGTGCGTGTATGTAGTGTCCCTACATGTCCGTACTGCAATTAAAACTAAAAACTAAAAGTACCACTTTTCACAGCTATGATGCATTTTTTTGTTATGCAATTAAGGAGAAATCTACCAGATTGTTTTGTGCCTGAAACAGCAAGAATGTGCTTTTCATATAGTAGTAAAAGAGATGTATGTTTTCACATTTCTGTCAAAAACAGATACACGCTCTCATTTGTGTTCATTAACCAGCATGTTCATGAACCTGAGAGAAAAATCGAGGCCTAAGGGAGAGTCCAACCCTTCAGGCGAAGCTTGTGTTTGAGATCTCATTCTTTCGGTACCTCCCCACACCTCATGGCCACAGATGACCCAGAGGGGCCTTCTTTTTCCAGCTGAGAAGCCCTGAGACACGGACCTGACAGCTTTCATTCCTACTGCTTCTTGCTTGCCTGCAAACCACCCCACAGTGAGCTGGAGGACACCTGCTGATGAAGCCACAAGAACCACATCATCAAAAGCAGAGAGATGATCCTGAGGCCACAAGACCAGAAATCTTCAGCTGCTTGGCTGAGCCTAAAATCTCTGTGCATAAAAGTTATGAATCGAATCGGTGACAAAAAGCAGCCCTGGTGGAGCCCAGCTCTCATCAGGAACTGATCAGACTTGTTGCAATATGAGTGAAACTCTATAACAAACACAACAGCTTATTACCTCATTTGTAGTGTAATAGGATGACAGCAAACTAAAAAAAGACACCTTGTTGTCATGGTCCTGGGTCCTTTTGACCCAGCGTTTTGTGTTTTCTATTAGTGTGATTATTGGTTCTGTTCTTCCTGTTTAGTGTTTACTCTGTTCT